GGCCAAATTTTCAAATGAATGTGTTCTGTTAGATGTATGAGATTAAAAGGCTTCTTCAACAGACTAGACAGCATCTGTAATGATAAAACTTCAGATGTTGAAGCCTCATCACTCCTGGTTCCAACTGCACACAGTCTTCCACACAGAAGCTGAGTTCATTCAACACAAAAAAAAAATGGAAAAAAATATGTAATTAGGAAAATGATAGCCTTTCCCCTAATCTTTGTCTTAGATAACATTGTTCACAAACTTGATGGCTTCTACTGAACACACTAATCTGTGTCTTAGATAACATTGTTCACAAACTTGATGGCTTCTACTGAACACACTTTTAGATGAAACTGCAAAGGCTCATTTCTAGAGCCTTTGTGTCTACTTTTAATAACTAAGATCTGTTTATGATGGATTTTTACAGTTAATGAATGCAAGCCCATAATTCAATACTGACCATACGTCAATCATAGTATAAAAGTGAGTAACAAAACAAAAACAAAACAAACAAAAAAAAAAAAACATTCCTAAACAATTACTACAGCTTATAATATGAAAATAGCCTAGACACAGTAATTTGGTTCCTAGAGATGAAATGAACAAATGTAACGTTTAACAATGGCAACATTCTATAATCATAGCATGCCATCTGTTCATGCATATTATCTACTCTCTCCCCACAGAGGACATTTAGCCTTTCAAATGATGGGAGGTAGTTGCAATGGGCTGTGTAACTATAACATGATTGCTGTAATCTGTTTGTGTGCTTGTACTTACATGTGACATTTACAGAAGGTCCAACACTTTGCTCAGAGTCAGATCTGTTATGTAAGGATTTACACATGATGTGGATTTGGAATTTAGTTTGAAATAAACTGCTGATACAGTGTTTATTTTCCAACTATCCACATTAAAATAGTGTTGTTTATTGACTCCCTTTTTGTTTTTGAAGTGTYGTGAAGTGTAGCACCAATGAGAAGCCAGAACTCAATTTGGAGAATTTGGGGGAAAAAAACGTTGTTATGGAAGCAAATACCAGTTGCTACTCAGAGCATATCCTCTTCAAGAACAATTTCCTTCTTTCTAAACTTACTTACTGTAAGTCAGACATTTCCTAGTAGTTCAAACAAACAATATATGAGGCATTTTTACACTCTGTCATTGTTCTATGTCATAGTTGTTGATCTGGGATTAGATTGACAGAATAGCAAGTTATGGCTTATCCGTGGCAGGATATAATTAGCATCCTCTCTGCATGCAATTACATCAATTTGCATCAGTTTAGTTTCTGGTATTGTCATATGATGCAGATTAGTCATATTCTGCAGTATGTCTCTTTGAGATTCCCAGGATAGCATTTCCTTTGAGRTACTGCAGGGAGATAGACATATTTTAAACAAAACACTCTAACTTGTTATACTTATTTGTTTTGCCTCAAATAGGGGAAGACGAGTATCAGCTTCAAATTTTGTAAACACTTTTTTATACCAAAACAAGATACACACTGTAGGGTACAATCTTAATGGTATTTGTGTTTAACTTCTTCACATTAACAGCTTAAAATGATGGAGTTGRAGTAGAGTTTTGACAATAGGGGTGTGAACAATTATCTTGGAGCTTGTGCACTCTTAACCAAATTAGTTGACTTAATTAGAAAATTGTGTGGAAACCTGTTGCCTTAAACCATTCTAGTTTCCAATGATAAAACTAATCAAGTTTAGTTGTGTTAACTTAAGAACTTCAGCGTAATGTAGTACACACATTAACATASTTTACTAATGTAGATTAGTTTACATAAATGTCTTTCTAGTTTTATGAAATTACTATTTTAAGCTAAACTCACACAGCCATATTAAGCAAATAACCACAATAGCATTAGTTTAAGCTATTAATATTTTGTTAATATAACTTTTTATTCTAATGTATCAGTAATTGTTACTTACATTTATCAGTACTCATTTCTTGTGTTAATAAAAATTATAAAACGTAAACTATAGTCATAATCAATTTGTTTTTTATAAGCATCAGTAACATTTTAAACATGTAAAATTGAGTAAACATGTCACAATATTAAAGACTTGAATCATTAATAGAATACAATGAACTAGCCTGGCCCTTGCCTTCCTAAACAGTTCCGCTCAATTCTAGTTCCCCTTCACTGCTCCGTCTGGGATTTCTCCCATAGAGAAGGATTTTGCTGGCAGATTTTTAGCCGAACCAATCAGAGAACAGAARGTTGATTTTCTGCGCAGTGTCTGCTTGTAGTTTATTTTACCTGGGCCAATCAGCAAACAGAAGGCGGAGTTTTGAAAGACGTCAATTTCCTGCGCAGTGTCGGCTAGTTAGTTTAGCATACGGCAGTGGAGGAAGTGAATGAAGCCAGTCATTGTTGATGAGGCTTCCAAATTAAATTAAATTTGTCTGACAAAGCAGCAGCTCTCATTTACAGCCGTCTTGTTCAGCTCGGTATTTCTCTCCTCTCAGTAGGGTTGTTTGCAGCACACACAATCTCCGGTTAGCTTCTTAGCTTAGCCTCCTTCACAGCGACATATACTCACCGGCCACTTTATTAGGTACACCACGCTAGTAACGGGTTGGGCCCCCTTTTGCCTTCAGA